GGCTATTTAGCTCATTCCTGAAATTTTGGTATTAAGGCACCTTTTTGAAGCACATGTCCTGGTTGGTGACAAGTGCAAAGCACTTCTGACTAACACACTAGAGCAAACCCATTTTCACCAATGACCACATCAGCTTTATGTTTGCCTTCAAAGGGCCAGTTGTAACTGTAAGACTTTGGTTGAGGTTCCATAAAGTTGCCAGTATTCAGCTCTTTTTCTTCTTTTCATCTGAAACATGTATTTTATTTATTTATCATGTCAGAAGTGAACCAAAAATACTTAGGATATTTAAAAACACAAACAACGTTTTAAAACTTGGCATTATATTAAATGTCCTTTGACCAGTAGCTGGCCAATTGGAGTGCCTCTGGTGTTGCTATAAGAAGGTCCTCCATTGTGCATGTGGCAAAGCTCAGACTACATTGTAATAGGTGGTCTGTGGTTTGCTCTTCTCCACATTCGCTTGTCATGGACACCACTTTGTGGTCCCATTTCTTAGGGCTGGCTCTGCATCTTGTGGTGCCAGAGTGCAGTCTGTTCAGTGGCTTCCAAGTCATCCAGTCTACTGTGTGCCAAGGAGGGAGTCTCCGATTTGGTATCGGCCATGAGGTTCCAGGTTTTAGCCTGCCACTTTTGGACTCTCACTTACTGAGGTGTTCCTGTGAGTATCTCTGTAGATATCAGAAAACTATTTCTTCATTTAAAGCATTGGCATGCTGACTGATATCCAAAGAGAGGATGGGCCAGAGATGTCTCTGTCTTGGTCCTTTCATTGTTGGCGGCTACTTCCTGGCAGATGTCAGGTGGTGCAATATTGACTAAACAGTATAATTTCTCCAGTGGTGTCGGGTGTAGACACCCTGAACCCAGGTTTATCACTGTGTACATTCACTCAGCAGATGCCTGCAATCAATCTTGGTTTCTTGGAAAAATTTACTTTTATAATACACGCATTTTCACCTGTGGATCAGTCATATACTTCCTTATAATAGGGTGAGTCCTGAAGCTGCACACTGCTATTTTGGATTCCTTCAGAGTTCTAGAAAAGCATATCACCCAATTATGGACACCACTGCAGTGTATTTTGTCACTTTTGGCCACCCCAAAGTAAAAATTAGACTGGAAATGTGAGCCCCCAAAACAGCTTAGAAAGATGTAAAATAGTCCCAACAAGTTGAGGTTTGGACAAATATTTTATCAGCCATAGCATGAGGGATAAGAGGCCACTAGTGAACCATCAGAAAGCTGCATGTGGTCCACAGGTTGCACAGTTTCCACAAATGTTTTATGGCCTGTACACGTATACAAAAATATGTAAAGTCTCTTATTGTTAGCCAGAGCAAACTAACTGGAGTAGACCCTTGATTAGTAGAACTTACCTAAAGTTGATTTTTCAACCAAGCTGCCATTGTTTTAAGGCCGCGTTTCTCAACCGAGGAGTTGGGACTCCTGGGGGGGGGGGGGGCTGGAGGGTGTCAGAAGAGTCACCAAAAACCATCAGAAACAGTATTCTGTTGGTCATGGGAGTTCTGTGTGCCAAGTTTGGTTCAATTCCATCATTGGTGTAGTTCAGAATGCTCTTTGATTGTAGGTGAACTATAAATCCCAGCAACTACAACTCCCAAATGACAAAATCAATCCCTCCCACCCCAACCCCACCAGTATTCAAATTTGGGCCTATTGGGTATTTGTGCCAAATTTGGTGCAGTGAATGAAAATACATCCTGCATATCAGGTATTTACATTACAATTCATAACAGTAGCAAAATGATAGTTATGAAGTAGCAATGAAAATAATGTTATGGTTGGGTGTCACCACAACATGTGGAACTGTATTAAGGGGTCGTGACATTAGGAAGGTTGAGAACCACCATTTTAAGGCATCAACCCAATTGTTCTCCTGAGGTTTGGGTGGGAAATATTTTAATGCGGAATAGGGGTGGGTACCCGATTCCTCTCTGTTAAATATAGGCTGCATCTACACCAAGCAAAATAAGAGTAAATGTCCTTTACTGTCATATCTGTAAAACATATTTCATTTTCTTTTTTAAAGGGGGAATTAAGTTCTCATGAATTCCACCGTGTTCAAACCTTCATAGTACAATTATTTCTCTTGTTATTTTTTACCATCATGAAAGGGAACATTTCTCTTTTACTACTTCAAGCATGGGCTTATAACCTAGAACTGAACTCATTTTTAAAGCAAATGGAACAATTCTCTTCCAAGTACTAGCAACTTTCCATCCCGTCTCTATAAGGAAGGATGAACATACTGTATATATAATTTACTTTCAACAGAGGAAATGAACCTGCTCATAAATGCCCAAAGATAGTTAAAGGAAGGAAATGTATAACTAGTGCCATTTAGGATTGGGCAGTGTATCTCACTACGAGAGGAAATGACTAGGTGGCTTATATGAGACTCTCTTTTAAAACTTCATCAATAAAGAAACCACCTATGGCAGGTGCTACAATTCCAAGACATTCTGAATATGAGAATGTCATTGTATTCTTTTTTCTATAAAATTATACAGAAAAGTGAAGGCTGCTCTTCTTGGCTTATTTCTTCCCTATAGTCATTATGCTCCCAGAGGCATGTGTGTTCATTCAGTGGTGATTTTTTAATGAATGAATGAATTAATTAATTAATTAAAAACATTTATAGTCCATATATAGGCAGGGCGGAGCACAGCATATATACGGCAAGCATTCCATGCTGGAACATAAAATAGCTATAAATATACACAAACACTAAAAACAGTTACATCTACGTTAAATCAGTTGGTTAAAGCCATCTCAAAACACCATACTGGCTCTGGGCAGCGGAGTAGATTTACTATTATTGCCTCATTGCTCTGCCCCGAAGGCTTGATCCCACAGCCAGGTTTTTACCATCTTTCTGAAGGTAGTCTCCTCTAATCTCGCCAGGAAGGGAGTTCCATAGCCAGGAGGCAATCACTGAGAATACTCTCTCTCTCGTCCCCACCAAATACACCTGTAATGGTGATGGGACTGAGAGCAGGGCCTCCCCAGAAGATCTTAGTGATTTGTAAAGGGAGATGTATCTGAACAGGTAAACTGGGCCAGGGCCATTTATGGCTTTATAGGCCAAAGCCAACACTTTGAATTGTGTCCAGTAGCAAACAGGCAGGCAGTGGAGTTGACTTAATATGGGAGTTGTGTGCCACCCCGGTTATTAATCTGGTCATGCTTGGAAGCAAGATGGCATATAAATTAAATAAATTGATCCCATGATAGCTTTGCCTTAGGGTCACGATGGGTGAGAAATGAATTGAAGGCACACTAGAACCATAGAATCATAGACTTGGGAGATACCACATGGGGTATCCAGTTCAACCCCCTGCCTGGCAGAAAAACACAATCAAAGCACCTGACAGATGACCATCCAGTTTCTGTTTAAAAGCCTCCACCACACTCTGAGGCAGTGGGTTCCACTGTTGGACAGCTTTCATGGTCAGGAAGTTCTTCCTAATGTTCAGGTGGAATCTCCTTTCCTGTAATTTGAACCCATTGCTCCAAGTCCGAGTCCAGGACAGCAGAAAACAACCCTGCCCTCTCTACCTTATGACACCCATTCACATACTTATCCATCGTTATCATGTCTCCTCTCAACCTTCTCTTCTGCAGGCTAAACATACCCAGTCCTTTAAGCCACTCCTCATAGGGTATGCTTTCCAGACCTTTGATCATTTTAGTCACCCTCTTGTGTATATGTTCCAGCTTATTTTTCTTGAGTACCCAGGTAAACCTGTGACCCATCCCAGGATATTGGACAGTGTAGAAGGGCCCAAAGAGTGAAGGTAGGAAGTTAAGAGAGAAATTGGGATATTTTGAATGCAGTTGGAAAAGTGGGTCATTAATTGAGACTGTCCTTGCCAAATCAGCACAGTTGGAGGGTATGCAGTGATTTATTAGCATTAGCAACTGACTATCCAGAAACACTCTCAAGAATTAAAGATAAATCTTTCCTACGAAGATAGATTTAATGGACCTGCATGTGTTTACCCTAAAGGAATGATAAGGTTGCATTTTTTTTATTGTTTTCTGATGCTATAATAGGCAATGGTGAGGTATGATTTTGAAACAATATAAAAAAAATTCAGGACAAAAATTTTTGGGATGCAGAAAACGTTTACTTAGTGCTTAAAAGAAATTATAACCAACTAATTTATAAATGCAATTTTAAAGTGGAATAAATACAGATACTCATGAAAAAAATTCAGTTGCCAAATGCAGAAACACAGAACCAGCGTCTAAGCATTATAATTATGTGGACTGGATACTGAAAGAGATGAAAAATATTGTCTTATTATTGATAACGAACATATTCATTTCCTGAGAGTATTTTTTTTTAGTAAAGGTGAACACTTGTCATTTGCAAGATGCATTTCAACTGCGTAGGCTACTTTAAGATATAGATTTAGAACATCAGCAAGGCGGGCGGGTGTCTCACAAGTGTGTGAATCAGCTTGAGAGCTTTCCGTTTCTAAATGAAATATCCATAACTGTTTATGTTGTGTTCACAAGGCTTGAAATCATATTTTTCTAGTCTTATTCCAGGGTTCATTGAGACTTATGGAGAGCCATTGTAGTGTATGATGGCTGGGTTGGACTAGGAGTTATAGATGCAGCATCTAGTCCCCCTCAGCCATAAAACATATAGGATGATTTTGGGCCATTTGCTCTTCCTCAACCTGGTGTATCTCATAGGTCAGCACTTTATTCAAAATAAAGTGAGGAAGAAGAGAGGTATCTATGTATTCTTCTTGTGTCTATTGGTGGAAAGCTGGGATATAAATGCAAGTAACAGAGACTAGAACCCTGTAATCTTATGGGGAACTCTAGCCCAACATTAAAACCACTCAGACATTGTGCCCCTTTGAAATCATGGTTTAAGTGGTTTTAATTCACATTTGCCCTTTTTCTTTTCCAAAATGTTATGAATGCCATTTTTCCAAAATGTATGTGTCTCTCTTCAGGCCTCCTGAGGAAATACCATCACAACTTGACAGATAGGAATGTGGAAGGAGGCTTGCAAAAAAAGGTTCCAGACATCCAAAAAGAGGCTTGGGAGCACCAATCTCCAAAAGATCCCAATATTACCAAAAAGTTGAAAACCTGCCTTTTGCATTGGTATCAAAGCATGTTCCCTGCTATGACAGAAAACTGGTAAGTTCTTGGCAGCAGGGACTGATCTTGGGAGGAATAGCAATGGAAAGGTTCTTCTATAGCAGGGGTCCCCAAACTAAGGCCCATGGGCTGGATACGGCCCTCCAAGGTCATTACCCGGCCCTTGCTCAGAGTCCACCTAAGCCTGAAATGACTTGAAAGCACACAACAACAATCCTATCTCATCAGCCAAAAGCAGGCCCACACTTCCCACTGACATACTAATAAGTTTGTATTTGTTAAAATTGTTCTTCTTTTTAATTATTGTATTATTTTAAAGTGTTTTTTTTTTGCACTACAAATAAGATAGGTGCACTGTGCATAGGGATTCATTCATGTTTCTTCAAATTATAATCCGGCCCTCCAACAGTTTGAGGGACTGTAACCTGACCCTCTGTTTAAAAAGTTTGAGGACCCCTGTTCTATGATATGAATTACTTGTTTGCACATGAGTTAAATATTCTTTTTTAAAGAAAAACTTGTTAGGGTTCCTGTTTATTCAGTTATGCTTCAGTTAATAAAGGTGTGTTCCTGGACATGGTTTCTGTAAGAGAATACTTAGTTCATGAGGCAGAAATAACATGGAAAGAATGAGGATACTCCCTACACTATTAAAAGGAGATTTCAATGTGTTTTATTTAGAGTTAAAACATGCACATATGAAATGAAACAATCAATAAGTCTTACATATGTAAACAAAAAAAATCTGAACCTTTTCGAGACCATTTGAAGTCTTCTTCTAAATGCAGGGATCACCTTTTTTCTTTTATCTGTCTCCACTTTTTCTTGCTGTTTCCATTTTTTTAGCCAAACTCTATTTTTTTTAAATAATTTTTTATTGCAATTTTCTTAAATATACAGGCAGTAAAAATTGGGGGGTGGAGGGCTATAAAGTGGGGGATAGAGATTTAGAGGAGGAAATATGGAGAAGTGATTGGGAGGGGGGGGTGTAAAGGGGAAGAAAAGGATTTATGTGAGGGGGATAGAAGTTAAAAGAAAAGATTCAAGATGTGCATTCTTCATCCTTCCATGTGACTTCCAGGATTCTTTGTGTAGGGGTCTTATCCTTTTCTTTCGTTTCTTCTTCTCTCTTCTCTCTGTTTCCAGTACCTCATATCGACTGCTACGTGTTTTATGTCCATCTCCTTCTCAAACCCTTTCTTCTTGTTCTTTTTCCTTCTTTCTTAAGTTCTGTTCTATGTTTGTGTATTTTCTTTTTAGTTTTATTCTTAGATTTAATTGCTTAGTTTTAGATATTCCTTAAATTTTGTCCAGTCAGTTTCCGTTTCCATTATTCCTTTGTTTCTTTGGATAATGAAGCTCAGACTATCCATATTCCTGACTTCCATCATTTTCCTTTTCCAGTCATCTATCTTTGGTATTTCCTTCTTCCTCCAAAGTTTAGCAAAGCATATCCTTGCCGCTGTTGTTGCCAAAAATAGTAATTTATCGGTATTTTTGTCCATCTTTAGATTAGAAGTTATGCCAAATAAGAATGTTTCCGGTTTTAGAGGGATATTGATTTTCAGAATTTTCTGTAAAGTTTCTTGTATTTCCTTCCAATATTCTTTTGTTTTTTTGCACTGCCACCACATGTGGTACATCGTACCTTCTACTAATCCACACTTCCAGCATTTTAAGTTCGCTTTTTATAGTACTTATTTATTTTGGCAGGGGTCATATACCATCTGAAGAAAACTTTCAGCCAGTTCTCTCTCATATCATGTGCTTTTAAGTATTTCAACTTTTTCTTCCAAATCAACTCCCATTCCTCTGTTCCTATTGTTCTTCCCACATTCCTGGCCCATTTCACCATACACTCTTTTATCTCTTCTTCCTCGGTACTCCATCTAAGTAATTCTTTATATATTTTAGATATTTTTCCCCTCTTTAATTCCCATATTCTGTCCCATCTGTTCCCTTTTTTTTCAAATCCCTTTTTTTATCCTTTCCAAAAAATTCCTGTATCTGTCTGTATTGGAGCCAGGTCATGTTTGGGTAACTTAGCTTTATTTCTGTTAGTGGCTTTAGGCATATTTCATTTTTCTCTTCCCTAGTTAGTTCCTTGTAATTCGGCCAATTGATCCACCCTAATTCCTTTCTCTGGCACGATTCTAGTGGGGAGATCCAGCTCGGTGTTTTGTTGTACATCCGGTTTTTATATTTATTCCAGGTTCTAATAATTGCCGCCCTTATGTAGTGGTTGCCAATTTTTTTTTCTATTTTTAATTTTTCGTAACCGATATACGCATGCCAACCTCTACGGAGATCGAAGCTTTCTAGATTTAATTTTTTTTCCTTTTTTAGTCCTATCCAATCTGCCGCCCAGGCTAACGCACAGGCTTCCACGTATAGCCCCAAATCTGGGAGAGCCAATCCTCCTCTTTCTTTCTCATCCGTTAGGTTTTTGTAGTTTATCCTAGGTTTTTTGTTGAGCCAAATGAATTTCTTGATATCCTTATTCCATTCTTTTATATTTTTTTGGTTCCTAATTATGGGTAAATTTTGGAAGAGAAACAGCATTCTTGGAAGTACATTCATCTTGATGCAAGAAATTCTCCCTAGGAGTGATATTTTGAGGTGTTTCCATTTCTCTAAATCTTTATTTCTCTCCAGGTTCTTATATAGTTATTTTGTAGGAGCTGCGAATTTTTGGCCGTAATAATAATTCCTAAATATTTGAGCTTCGGGACGATTTTTATCTTATTATTTTCTTTGAGTTGTTCTAATTTTTTCTTAGGTATATTTTTTGTTATTGCTTCTGTTTTTTCAAAATTTAGTTTGAAACCTGCTACTTTTCCGTATTCTTCAATTAACTCCATCCACCTATTTAGATTTTTGTTTGGATCTTCAATTATACAGATTAAATCATCCGCGAACGCCCTACATTTGTAAGAATATCCATTTATTCTTGCTCCCCTTAGTTCCTCATTATCTCTTATGCTATTTAATAATACTTCTAGTGTTAGTATAAATATTAAGGGAGATAACGGACAGCCTTGTCTCGTTCCTTTCCTTATTTCAATTTCATTGCTTTCCTGTCCGTTTATTATTATTTTTGCATACTGTGTTTTGTAAATTGCTTCAATTGAGTTTATTAAATAAAATCCTAAATCCATTTCCCTGAAGAGTAATTTGAAAAAGTTCCAATTTATTTTATCAAACGCTTTTTCCGCGTCGATTGCCAGAAACATCACTTCTTTTTGTATGTTTTTTTCATAGTATTCGATAAGGTCTATTATTGTTCTAACGTTTTCGCTTTGATTTCTGCCCGGGAGAAAGCCTGTTTGTTCCTCTTTGATCCAATTTACAAGAAATTTTTTAAATCTATCTGCTAGTATACTACTAAACAGTTTGTAGTCTAAGTTTAACAGCGATATCGGTCTGTAATTCTCTAACTTCTCAGGATATTTATTTTCCTTCGGTATCACACATATATTTGCTTGTTTCCATGTGGGGGGTATCTCTTTGGTTTCTCTAATTTCATTCATTACTTTTTTTAGATAAGGCGTTATTTCTTTTTGTAATTTCTTATAATATATTGCTGTGTACCCGTCTGGGCCCGGAGCCTTATTTGTTCTCAGGTTTTTTTATTGCTGTCTGTATTTCCACCTCTGATATCTCCCTGTTTAGTGCCTCTCTTTCTCTTTCTGAGATCTTTTGGATTTTCCTCTTTGCTAAATAATTCATGATCTTTTCATTCTTTATTTGTTCATCTTGATATAGTACCTTGTAGAATTTCTCAAATTGTTTTCTCACTTCTCCTTCTTCTATTACTATCTTTTCTTTCGTTCTTATTTTTGTTATAATTCTCGATTCTCTCTTCTTTCTTAGTTTTCTTGTTAGCCAAATCCCCGGCTTGTTTGCGTTTTGAAAATAATCAGCCTTTATGTAATTCAGGCTTTTGGCTTTCTCTTCCAGTTCCAGGAATTCTCTCTCTTTCTTTAATTTTACTATATTTTCTATAGCCGTCTTGTTTTTTGGGTTTTCTTTTAGCTTCTTTTCTTCCGCTTCTATTTTGTCAGCTATCTCTCTCTGTTTCCGTAGTTTTTCCTTTTTTTTCCTCGCTTTTTGTTGTATGAAATATCCACGCATTACTGCTTTTCCCGCTTCCCATAAGGTGAATATTCTCGTTTCATCCGTATCGTTTCTCTCAAAATATTCATTCAGTTTGTCTTTGCACCTCTTAATATCTTCTTCCTTCAATAATAGATTTTTGTCTAATTTCCACCTCCACTCTTTTCTTCCTTCTCTAATTTCCATCTCTAATCGACAGTGATCTGAATCTGTCCTTGCCAAAATCCTTATATTTTTCACCTTGGGTAAAAGAGAAGCGGAAGCCCAGATCATATCTATTCTCGACCAGGACTTGTGCCTGGCCGAGAAATAAGCATAATCCTTTTCATTCTCATTATTGTGTCTCCAAATATCTTTCATTTTCAGTCCTTCTAGTAGGTTTAGTAGTGTCCTTGGGATGATTCCTGATATTTCCTTTCATTTTCCAGTTTGTTTTGTAGCTTGGGTTCTGTCTGTTTTGTCTCTTTTCCCATCTACTATACAGTTAAAATCTCCCAGAATTATTATTTTATCAAAATCCTGTTTCATTATATTTACTTCCAATTCTTTCAAAAATTTTGATTTAGCCTCATTTGGCATATACACATTACAGACCAATATTTTAGAGTTTTGCCATGTAATTAATACTCCCAACATTCTACCTTCCTGGTCCTTAAAGGCCAGCTCTGAAATTATATCTTTTTTATGTATGTTACTACTCCCCTCTTTTTCACTGAGGCCGAGGCATAATATGCTTTGCCTAGTTTTTGGTTTTCCAAATATGCTATATGTTTGTGGGCAATGTGTGTTTCCTGTAAAGCAATTATCTGGCAATTTCTTTTTCTTAAATTATCAAAAACTTTATTTCTTTTATTTCCCAAATTCAGTCCATTAATATTATTACAGTAAATCTTTAAACTAGTATTCATCTCAGCAGCTACTTT